GATATTAGACATATCGGATAAATATACTAAAATCTGTACACCTAAAGAAGCTATACAAGAAGGAGGACCCTGGGTAAGATGTTCAATCCTCACTCAGAAAGGCAAACAGGACAGACATTGGAAGAGGGAGAAATAGGAAACAGGACAGGAGCCTACCAGAGGGCCTTTGAAAGACTCTACATAGCAAGATGCTGAGACTCATAGCCAAACTTTGGGCAGAGTGCAGGGAATCTTATAAAAGAAGGGGGTGATAGAAAGACCTGGAGGGGACAGGTCCTCCACAAGGAGAGCAAGAGAACCAAAAAATCTGGGCACAGGGGTCTTTTCTGAGACTGATACTCCAACCAAGGACCATGCAAGGACCATAACCTAGAACTCCTGCAGAGATGTAGCCCATGGCAGCTCAGTCTCTAAGTGGGTTCCCTAGTAATGGGAACAGGGACTGTCTCTAACATGAACTTAGTGGCTGGCTCTTTGATCACCTCCCCCTGAGGGGGGGGAGCAGCCTTACCAGGCCACATAGGAAGACTATGAAAGACAGTCCCGATGAGACCTGATAGGCTAGGGTCATAGGGAAGGGGAGGAGGTCCTCCCCTATCAGTCGACTTGGGGAGGGGCATGGGAGGAGATGAAGGAGGGAGGAGATTGGGAGGGAATGAGAGAGGGGGCTACAGCTGGGATACAAAGTGAATAAACTATAATTTATAAAAAAATAATTAAAAAAATAAAAAATAAGCAAATAAACCTTTCATCCTATAAATTATATATAAGATTATGAAATTACATATATACATATATATACACATACACACACACACACACACATATATAAAATAAGAGTTTAGTGGTTCAAAGTCATACAACTAGCTGGGTACAGAGGCTCACACATGTAATCCCAGCACTCAGGGAGGCAGAGGCAGGTGGATTTCTATGAGTTCGAGGCCAGCCTGTTCTAGAAAGTTAAGTCCAGGTCAGGCAAGGCTACAAAGAGAAACCCTGTCTCAACACACACACGCACACCAAAGTCATACAATTAGTCTGGTTGCAGTAACTTTTAGATTCAAGTCTCCAGAACCCCAAGGCTGTGCTTGCCTTTGTAACTTATCCCCTGTGCTGATCTACCTGAAACACAAGAAGGAATAAACAAATATATTCAAATGTTTTTTATACCACTCACAGTCTATAATCTACTTTATCCTAGAATGTTTTAAAATACTATTAAGTCATTGGACTGCTTCTTTATTATTTTGGGCTTTTTCTTTACCAAATGTCAATGAACAATGTCAAGTTTTAAGGAAAAGGTCTATGTAGGCTGATGGTTCCTATACCCCAAGAAAGTTTCTCATACAATTTTGTCATTCTTGAAATATCTTCTGTTTACTGATTTGAAGATAATATGCTAGAAATAATTAAGTAATCCTTGGTATGTAGATTAATTTGTATTAAATGTACTACATATACCACTAGTAAAATAAAAATGCTAGTAAGTAAATATAATTTTATATAAAGCCATTAAAGTTTAGCATTACTACAGAATAAAATAGTTACTATAAAGATGGTCTAATCACTGTAGTTTATTGATCTACTATAAAAGGAGTTTATTGATGAAACAGTTTTCTTGTAAACTAATCATGCATCAGAAAATACTTACGTCTGTTTTACTATTAGCTGAAATTCAGAAAATCAACATGTGCTCAGTAACTCTATAATAGTCCAGTGAAATGCTTATAGAAATGATACTCAGTGATCTGGAGCAGAGGCCTGCCTGCCGCCATACCACAGGATACATGCAGAGGACACCCAAAGGCCCGCCTGCTGCTGTGCCAGACAGCACCATCAAAAAAGACATCCAGAGGCCAGCCTGCAGGCATGCCACACAGCCTGGGTGGACAGAGGATATCCAGAGGCCCACCTATCAGTGGCTTGCACACAGTGGGAGCCACTACAATGTGCAAGTATGTGGTGGACAGATGGAAGACAAAGAGAAGCCAAAAAGTTTGAGCACTATGAAGAGAAGAATGGAGAAATGAGAATGGAGAGGAATAGCTTGTTGTGAGTAGCCTGCTACTTGAGGCCATGGTAAAATCCCATCCATGCTGCCACCAAGGGCCATGTCTGTGTCTGTAGCTATGCAGCAGCAGGAGTCTATGTCAATGTGAGTGGTTCATTTTACCACTAAAAACCTGGTCTAGTCTGTCGCCTGGGATCACGGTCAAAGGGCTGTACAGAGCTGGCCCCACCCCTCACTGGACATAGGCATTCGGGAGAGCTGGCCCCACCCCTCACTGGCTGTAGCAGTGTGTCCTGTACCTCGCTTTGACCTGGACCTCACAGTAGAGCAGGCCCTGATGATGAAGGCACAGGTGAGTCAAACCAGAGGGTTTGAGAGCAGGAAAGTTGGCCCATCCCCTTGACGGGTGCAGCACTTGGGAGCGTAGCCACAGGACTGAGAAGCACAGGTGTGCTGGTTCTGGTGATATGGGTGCACAAGAACTGGCTAGCTGACCAACTCAACTACTGCCCAGGCCCAGAACTAGGGCTTTGAGTTAGCCCACCCAGACATTTAGCTCAACTATGAACTGCTGGAGCATATGAAGAGATTAGTCCTGCAGATCCAAAGCTGCAGGAGCTCCACGACAAAGAACAACAACAGGATATCCAGGAGGAGTCCTGGTGAGGAGCCAGTATTGACAGTTGTAGCTAGAGGCCTCGAACCATATTAATTACTCACTGCAATAAATATCTCCAAGTAAAGGTGGGTGGGCAAAAGGATATATTGTGGGTCTCACTGTGACACACTACAGCTTCCTCAATGAAAAAAAAAATTTTATTGTTTTTTTTCATTTTCTTTTGGGCAGGAGGTTACAAGGGTGGAAGGTGGATATGAAGGGACCAGGAGATGAATGGAGTTGGGGTGCATGTGAAACTTACAAAGAATCAATAAGGTTTTTAAAAATAGAAATGATACTTAATATTTACAAAACAAACCATTAGATAACTACAAATGCTTTAAATTTTCACCTTTCTTTCTTTAAAAGTTTAAATTTTATTTTTCTAAAAACAAAGCAAACACAAATATCACACACAAACCTATTATAAACCAAACATCCTCTCAGGCTTGGTATCAGTCATATCCAGTGGTTTGGTTTTTTTTTTTTTTTGTTTGTTTTTTTTTTTTTTACAGCTGAAGATTACAAAAAGTTCATTTTTAATAAATTACCCAAAATGAGTTCCCCCTTCAGATTTTGGTGTCAAAAACAGATTATTTCTTTAATAGAGGTTGGAAAGTCATTTGAATTTTCACATAAATTATTATATGATTTTCCTTTTTTTCTTTAGTCTTTTAGATTGTTGAGAAACAGAACACATTTCTCACAGATTTTTTGGACTCCAAATTTAATTTCTTCTAATGTCTCTAAACATTCATAATTTTAGGAATCACTTTAAATTAGATCTAGTACCCAATATTATCAAAGTCTATGTGCTGAAGTCCCTTTTGTAAACTAGCACAGTACTTTCCTGAAACTTCCATAAATCTTCCCCACAAGTCACCCCCATATTATTCACACACTACCTGTTACAATACAAATGCTTTGCTTGTAGTTGTTATACTGCATTGTTTAGGGAATTGCCACAAGGAAATGAAGTTTACATAGTTTTTCACAGAAACATCTTTGAGTTGATGTTGGCCGAATCCACCAATACAAAATTTACTGAGATGGAGGGCCAACCACATTAGGTTTATTCACACTTTAGTGGGAAATGTTAATTCTTATTTTAGCTGCTAGATGATTTTGTTGTATAGCCCAGGCTAGCCTTGAACTGGTAATCCTTCTGCCTTAGCCTCTCAAGTAACCTACAATGCATTACAATAGCTGGCTCACTAATATTTTATATTAGGATATTTTTATTTAAAACTTCATATGCTGTAAATTACTTACTTTATTGGGTAGCTATTAATAAAAATCATCATTCTTTCAAAGTCTCACTAGTTCTATTTCAACTTACTAGGTAAAGCAAAACACAATATAAATTTCTTTTTTGAACAGGAATAAAACCAGCATTACATAAACTTTTAGCTTTGAAAACAAAGAGCTCCATTGAGAAATAAGTACTTGTATGCAACTATTGACAGTAGTGAGTCTGTTTTAAAAAGCCAGTTATTTCAGAAGATACGTATTTCTTTTTATGTTTAATTCATTTATTGTTCATGTGTGGGTTTTTCTTTTTCTTTCTTTTTTTTTTTTTTTTGAGATCGAGTTTCTCTGTGTAGACCTGACTGGCCTGGAACTCACTCTGTAGACCAGACTGGCCTCAAACTCAGAGATCTATGTGTTCTGCCTCTACCTCACCTAACTAGAAAAACTAGTACTTCAAAGGATCTCCACTTCAAGATGCTGGGCTTGGCACAAGGACTTAAGACACTTACATGTACATTTAAAGTTAAAGTAATGAACTCGGCAGTAAAGTGTTAAGGAAGCTACAGACAATAGCTAATGAGTGGATATTGTTATGTTCTAATAAAACATTACTTACTACAAAAAGTGGCCAGGCTGTGGGACAATTTGATGACTTGTGCCCTAAGTAAACATTTCTTTTCAATATATTATAATTACATCTTCCTGTTTCCTTTGTATATGACAGTTGCTATAAGAAACACTAGTCATGTAAATGGTAAAAGACTCCCACTAACCACTTTCCACTGACAGGATCTCATGTTTTCCCGTGGGGCCTCCAACCTGCCAAGTAGCTGAGGATGACGTTGAATTTCTGATCCTCCTGCCTCTGTCTCCCACGTTAGGAGATTCCAGGTGTCCCGCCCCAACACCTGGTTTAAGTGGTGTGAGGGATGGAACCTAGGGCTTTGTGTGTGCTAAGCAAGCATAAAATGTTTTAGGAAGTCATAAAAATGTTTTTTAGACTCAGAAACAAAAATGTGTTAATGAAATAAACATGAAAACATGTCTGTAGTACAATTATATTCTATTAAATAATCTTACCTTAATCAAATGAAAGAATCAAAATCCTAGCACATTCTGGCTTCAATTCAAAAACTATTTGAATCAAAACTTCAGTTTCTTCTTGTTAAATTCCTAAAATAAAATGAAAAACCTTTAAGCAAGGTTCTGGTTGCAGATGAAATGTAGCAAATACAACACTCCAACTGTCCCACCAACTGAATGTAGCTCCAAGACCTGGATAAAATGCCTAGAAAAGAATTCATGGGAACCTTGAAAAGTAAATGGCAATAGGTAGATCCTGTAAAAAGCTCAGAATGCAAAGCATCATTTTAGAATGGCCATCAAGTTGTTCTCCTCTGGTACCATCCAGCCTAACGTGCATAAAACCCAAATGAAAAGTTTGTTCCAGCAGTGACTGGAAAGGTGGGTCTCTCCTGCTCACTCCTCCCTGCCCCTCTCTACCCCTCTCCTCTTTCTTCTCCATTCGGTAGGCCCAGCCACCTGTGGGGGCAAGGAGCAAGGGAACTTTGCTTCTCATCAGAACTGCTCTGCAGTTCCAAGAGAATACTTACATGGGTCCACCCCGGTCCCCTTCTATATCCTCCCGCTGCTTAGTCCTAAAGATGAGCACAGCTCCAGGGAGTACATCTACTTTTTCTTTTCCTTTCTTTCTTATGGGCGTGCATCTTAACAAATAACGCTTCACCTTTCTGGTCAGAGACTGGAAGAGGGGAGCCCAAAGACCACTCAAGAGTACAAAAAACAGGGAGACCAACACTACAGCAAAATACTATCCTGTAGGTGCACTCTGACATATGATGGATTGCAGACTGACAACCCACCCGAATGTTGAAAACACCCTACAAGATGCATAGCACACCTAGCCTACTGAACAGCATGCCTAGTCTACATGCCCTCAAAGTCTTCTAATTCAAAGCCTGTTCAAAATGAAGTGCTGAGTAGCTTGTATAATGTACTGATCATTACACTGACAGTGAAAACCCAGAAAACATGGATGGTTTGCTTTATTCTGTCACAAAGTTGAGATGATTCTAAGTCTAACCATCAAAAATAGAGGCCTGTTTGGACTGGATGATAAATCAGCACACTGATATAAATGCCCAAGGGGAAGAAAAACAAACAAAAACTTCCTAAGAGAATTCCTAATAATATACATCCATATGCTTTGCCCATAATATAAAATTTCCCATAATATAAAACTGCCCAGCCTGAGTATGGGCTGAATTCAGTAATTTATTTCCGAAGGTTAGAATACAGAAAGACAAAAATACTTCACCGTGGATAAACTGAGCAAGCACTACCTTCTGCAAGTAAAAGCAGTGCCTTCATTTACTCCCAGAAAGAGTCAAAGGATGCTTTGCTTCTGTGTTGCTAGTTTCTAAAACCTGCAGTTTAATCATGAGTAAAGTGCCAGACAAAGCACATGAAATGCATTCTACAGAACACACTGGCCAGGAGTCAAGGCCATGTAAAGCAAAGACAGGAAACTGTCACAGACTATAGGAGACATTCCACAAAAATCATGTGGAATCTTGGACTAGGAGGAAACTACTGAGGAGTGAGTTTGAAACTCAAAGTTGCTGTCAACTTCTGTAACTAACTAAAGCCAAACAGACGAGCACACCTGTGAGGGATTTTTTTTCTAGACTGGCTCATTTGAGGCTCAGAACACCCACCTTACATATGGGACACATTTTCTGGTGGTAGCCTACAGAAAAGACATGGAAAAGGGAAGCTATTGCTTTTTGCTTGCCCTCACTCTTCCTGGCAAATTCATTCTTTGACTGGCATTAGAGTCCACTTCCTCAGGATTCCAGTGTATACTGAAGACCAGCTGAGACATTAAGCTTCCTAGACCAAACTATTATTGCATTCTTGGACTTTCTATCAGGAGACAACCATTGTTGGACTAGCAGAATTACAGCCTGTAACGGACTCTAATAAATCCTGTGTGTGTATTCATTCTATCAGTTCTGTTTCTCTAGAGAACCCTGACTAATTTAGCAAATATGAGGGAACAATGTTAGTTTTATGCTGCTAATAAAATTTTGCCTGGTTTAGTGGTATATACCTGTAATTCCAGTTACTTGTGAGGCTGAGATGGGAAGATTCCAACTTTCAGGCCTGACAGGACTGTATAGTGAAATCCTGTCTCAAAGACAAAAGCAATCTCCCCTGGAAGCCCCCAGCTCTTTCTGAAGAACCCTGACTTCAGGGCGGGGCGGGCCGTCATAGACAAAGTGCTTCTGTGCAAGCATGAGGGCAGAGTTTGGAGCCCTAGAAAAAGCTAGTGTGATCCAAGTGCTTGGGGGCTGACAGGCAGGGAAAGGAGGCCCTGGGATCTTATGGCCAGACGATCTACCTGAAAGCCATTGAGAATGGCTGGCTCTAGGGGCAATGAGAGGTTTGTCTTCAAAAGAAAGGCAGAGAGAAACAGAGGAAGATACCTACCACAGAGCGCTGGCCCTCACATGAACGTGCTCTGGCAAATTCATTCACCTCCCACCCCTACATACACTCCTAACTTAGAATCAGCAGAAAATGGGGGGGGGGGGGGTAGGTGTGATTATACAGAGAACATTCTGAAAATGAAAAACAATATTTCATTTACTTTTTATTATTAGGGAAAATCAAAAGTTTATGATCAAGGAAAGTAAAATATTTGAATAATTAGGGTGAGGGAAATCAAGCAGATTAAGTAGGAAAAGAGATTTCACAAGTAATTCCACTCTTGTTTATCTTACCTCCACTAAGGAAGCAGCACTACAGGCTTCCAGTAAGTGGTTATTAATTACTCATATGTGGTCATAAAACATCAGTGTCCACCTTTAGAATAATGAGATAAAATTAAACACAATGTCTCAGAGACTTTATCATTTAAATCTTCTGATTACTGTTTACCCTAGTTACTATTTTTAAAATAATATCCAGCCAACTTCTATTTAAGGCAAGCTCAGTTCTCTACTGCTGCTGGCATCAGCAACAATTTCAAACAGCCACTCTTTACTCTTGCACTCGCACTAACTTCAAATGGAAGACAAAAGAATCTGTAAGGAACAGCTCTCACGCTAAGGCCTTCTGTTCTAATACACATTCAATTAGAAATAAAATGGCATGCTTCGATAATTTATGTTTGCTCCAGAAGCACATGATGGGGGAAATGATTTACATTGGTTATTGAAGCCTTTCCAGCCAAAGCTATCTCCAGTTGTTATTTGTGAAAATTCAACAAGATCAGTTTGGCTTCAACATCATTCAAACAGTTCCTACGAGAAAGCCATGTGCTTACTATTTCACATAATCTCACTAGACGCTTGATTTACTTTTTAAAAGGCTGATTTATAACCAAATCAGACTTACAAAACTGCAAGACACCTGCCAGGAAGCTTCTGCCAGGTTGGTACATCTTGGCTGTCTCTTTGTGGCACTGGACATATTTATGTAGCTCCTACATTTTGATGTTCAGAATCAGAGATTTTTCTCCCTTCTCCAAAGAATCAAGAAAACCTCAATCATTTTTTTTTTCTTTCTTCCTTTTCCTTTGTTGTTTAGGACCCATGACACCAAACTCCTCTTTGTTTTTAGAGCTTATAGTAATGCCAGCATATAATAGCCATTTGAACACTTCTTTTATTTAGTTAAGTAACAAACATTTAATAAGATAAATAAATAAAGACAAATTCCTATGATCATGGAAATTACTGTGAGTAAATACAGTTGGCCGTTACAAGATGCAAAAGGCAATGGGAAAGAAGGTCAACACACAGTTGTTTAGTGTGTGCTATGACCTCATCTGTGGTTGCATAACTCAAGTGGAGTCACAAAAACTTTGGCAACAGTGAAAGGTTCCTGCATGTGCAATAACCAAAGCTTGATTCAAAACCCAATAAGCAATGAGCCCAGAGTGTTTCTGGTAGTGTTCTCAGTGATGGTTCTGAAAACACAACTCACATGCAATGCCAATACAAACTGACTCAAACAGCAAAGCTCAGATTTTAATCCATTATACTATAAATTGTAGTAGTTTAAATGTACATAAAAAATTTCCTGCTCTTACAAAAACACAATGGTTTAATTATGGAAATCAAAGAATTTTGGTATTTTTCTGTCATTTCTCAGCATGTCAGCATCAAATTAGTATATCTTTGTGTTGCACTGGCCTAAAATATTTTATTTAAAAATTGTTGTTTGAACATACTGTCTTGAGGTTTGTTTTTTTTTTAATTGTTAAATATATTTCAGAATGGGAGTATACAAATTTTCCAGTAACTTCTGAAATGAACCTAAACATACTTTTGCCATTTTGTGGCAAATATTTATGTGAAGTAATGTTCTCTCACCACTGACAATTATAAAATCAAAATACTGATCAACTCTGAAAAAAGGTAAAGATGCTCAATGCCCTACAGTGTCAAATGTTTAGACCAGATTTAATTTTTATAGGAAAAATATACATCTCATTAGTATGCAAATTTTCTTTAATTTTTAATAAATAACAAAATTATATGTAAACCAAGGAATTGTTTTAAAATAAATACATGTATATCATTAAATATTTGATTTGTACATATTTTAAATGCCTATATACCCAGAGTCTCATAAGTATTTTTGTCAAGAAGGGGTCATAAGTGGAAAAATTAAGCAGCTCTGAGGGACAGTAAGTTGAGGTTGCCAGATAAGTGCTTTGTACCATACGACTTTGTACCATAAGAATCTAAATTGGGGAGACTAAATGGTAGTATCCAAAAACAGTGTTCCTCTGTCATTATCACTGTTACCACAATATTCTACTCTTCTTCAGTTCAATTAAAGATAAGAATTTTTACACATGAATTAAACTGAACAGGATACCATAGTTTCTTAGCTACTGAGGTACTAAAAAAGGAGTTCCTAGAAAACAGTATTTCACAGGCACTTTTTAAAGATGACAGTACATTAAACCACCTGCCTCGATCAAAATGAAGGCAGCTATTGCCTTCCTTCACCGAGCTAATACCTTAACAGTAACACAATCTGCATCAAAGGAAATCCAATGAGTTTTCTACCCAGTATTCCTGAAGTCCCTCTTTCAGAAATGAAGCTCTGTATCTACTTCTTTTAGTTACAAGGAGTCAGGCTGTTATGAACTTATCCACAGGGCTGAAGAGACACCTTAGCCGATAAAGCACTTGCTTTAATCTGAGTTCAGTCCCCAGAGCCCATATAACAGAAAATGGGGCCTGCTGAGATATGCTTGTAATTGCTGTACGTGGGAGACAAACAGGTGGATCTCTGAGGCTTGGTGGCCAGCTAACCTCATCTACTTGGTAAGGTCCAGGCTAGTGAGAGGCTGTCTCAGAACACGAAGTGGATGGCTAGATAATGACACAGAGGTTGACACAGACACAGGCACATGCTACGTTATCATACAACAGTTATATAACTGCATGAACTATAACTACCTGTAACTATTAACAATGTTAAACTGCAAAAGAATCAAGAAGGGATTTAAGATAAAGAGCTTAGTTTGTACCAAAATTAAGAAAGAACCTTATGCCTTAAAGGCTTCATGTGACACTTACACATTTATATATTGTAGAGCAAACTTGCTTTATATTTAGCTATTTGCTGACAGCTCTGATAAAAAAAAAAAAAAAAAAAAAAAAAAAAAAGTTCTGAAATGGCCACATTTGAAATTAACGCCTGGGTAGATTATCTATAAATCTCATATATCTATATTTACTCCAATCCATTACTAAAGTTCTACACTACCACTTTAGGAGCACTGAAAAAGACTCAGAATAACTCCCTTAGAAGTCTTGGAACAGCTAATGAGAATTCTGTAATTTCCTCTCAGAGGTAAATGGCAGCTTAGAGTACAGTGGGGAACTAACGAGTGATGTTGCTAGATGTTGAATGGGAGAAAGAGGATTTGCTATTTTGTACAGGAATAATTATTTGTAGAACTACTGTGTGTAGAATTACATTTGCATAGATGAGTGTGTTAACTATGTATATCAGGCTAACCTTGAACTAAGATATTTGCCTATCTTTACCCACCAAATTTTGGTATAAAAGGTGTGTGCTACCACATAGACTAATCTGCTACTCTTAAGTCTTTCACTTCACACTCCCACATCTATCTTTTAGAAAGGAAAAAATTGAAACCAAAATAAAAAACTTGTTTAAAAGAACAAGATGTCAGGACAAACTGGAACCCCAGAACTCTGGAGGCTGGGGCAACCTAGGCTATAATGAGATCCAGTCTCAAAGGGGAGAGAGTAAGGGAAGGAAGGAGTGGGAAGGGGCCTGGGGAGAGCAGATGAGAAGGGAAAGCACACCACAAATCAATCATAGTTAGCATTTTAGTCACAATATTTTGTTTGCAGAGAGGTTACACCACACCGCAAGCATTTCGTTCTTAACACAGAAGCAAGAACTATATTATTAAAGAATCTTGTTAAAGATTAGAATTGATTTATGTTCAAAGTTAGAGCTTTTGTTTCTAAGTCTGGAACTACCCCTTTGCCATTTTGTATTTATATACTTGCTCTAAAATATTAACAACCTCACAAACAGTCTGTTTAACAGTAATTAAAATTATCTAGTTAACACAACAGCAAAACCTGCCACAACACAGATGGCAGAAGACTTTCTCTTTTCCTCACCAGTGTCAAAAAACTTCTATTTCATGATTAAGAAATCTGCACACAGTATTTACAAAATACAAACTGGCAATAGAATTGTTTTCTTAGGGCATTGTGTACAGCAAAATTCTTGGTTATTTCTTAACATAAAGATTTTTCTTATGGCACTGGTCAAACCCAGCCAAATATGAGATTAAAGAATCAGAATGGACAGAGTCTATACTGTTCATTTGACTCAGGTCTGTAATGCACACTAATTCCCTGAAAAGCATGTTCCTAAACTCTGTTGCAAACTGGAACCATCTCAGCAGCACTTGAATATCTCAATGTGCAAACAGCACCCCAAAATCAGGTCTGAGTAGGAGACAGGGATGAATATTCTTAAAATTCCTAAGCAGTTACATATGGCTCATTCCTCACAATTTATAATATCGGGAGGCTTGGCATCTGGCACTGGTTCTGCCACTAGCAAGCTTGGATACATCTGTGTGTGACTACTTCCTCATCTGGAAAGTTATTTCTAATATTTAACATGCTGTGAGTCTAGGATGATGTTCTTTAGTTCTCCTACAAAGACTGAACTGACTTCAAGATACAAACTATGCCAAGGAGGTGGGCGACAGTAACAAGAAACAGTTGGAATCTGTGGTCCGTTAAGAGCTTGGTTTTATAAGGAAAGATTATTTTACAGTATATATCAAGTTCAGCTATACTTCAACTGCAGAGATTTTTATATATCCACCTCCTTCATAGTCATAAAATTGTATCTATGTTGGAAATGTCTGAAAACTTGAATCATCTTAATATATAACAATCTTTCAAATTTCTATAAAAGCATCTATATATTTTCTGGTTTTAATAGCTTTCCTACTTTTGTTGAGCTCTTAAAGATATAATTTTAACTTTTCTTGGTAATAGTCCGATTGCTTTCACACAGGGTCTTGCTATGTATCCCAGGCTAGCCTCCAACTTGGAAACCTCCCAATTGAGCCTCCACAATGTTAAGATTATAGGCACATTTCACTGGATATAGCTTGACTTTAACACTCTATTAACATTAACTCATTTCATGAAAGAAAATCACTAGAAAAAACGGGAACATGGGTACAAAGCTTGTTATCTAATAGTCCTAAACCAAATTCTTTTTTTTTTAATTTTTATTTTTTAATATTAATCACAGGTTATTTACTTTGTATCCCAGCCATAGGCCCCTCCCTCATTCACTCCCATTCCCATCCTCCCTCCCTCATCTCCTCCCTGTCTCTTTCCAAGTCCATTGATAGGGGAGGACCTCCTCCCCTTCCATCTGACCCTATTTATCAGATATCTTCAGGACTGGCTGCAATGTCCTCCTCTGTGGCCTAGCAAGGCTGTTCCTCCCTCGGAGGGGAGGGAGAGGAAAAGGAGCCAGTCACTGAGTTCATGTCAGAAATAATTCCTGTTCCTTTTACTAGGAAAACCCACTTGGATACTGAGCTACCATGGGCTACATCCGAGCAGGGGTTCTAGGTTATATCCATACAAGATCCTTGGTTGGAGAAACAGTCATAGAGGACTCCTGTGCCCTGATATATTTTGTCCTTGTGGTGCTCCTGTCCTCTCCTGTTCATACTAACTCCCCCTTTTATCATGATTCCCTGCACTCTACCAAAGATTTGGTTATGAGTCTCAGCATCTGCTTTGATACATTGTCAGATAGAGTCTTTCAGAGGCCCTCTGCAGTAGGCTCCTGTTCTGTTTTTGTATATTCTATTTCCCATGTCCATCCCATTTGTCTTTCTAAGTGAGCATTGATCATCTTACCCCAGGTCCTCTTTCTTGTTTATCTTCTTTAGGTGTATAGATTTCAGTATATTTATCCTATCTATCGGTCTATATAAGTGAGTATATAACATGTGTGTCTTTCTGCTAATGGCCAACTGTTGGGCAGAGTGCATGGAATCTTATGAAAGAAGAGGGAAATAGTAAGATCTGGAGGAGACAGAAACTCCACAAGGAAAGCAACAGACGCAGAAATTTGAACACAGGGGTCTTCCCAGAGACTCATACTCCAACCAAGTACCATGCATGGGGATTGATCATCTTACCCAGGGTCCTCTTTCTTGTTTATCTTCTTTAGGTGTATATATTTTAGTATATTTATCCTATCTTATAGGACTATATAAGTGAGTATATACCATGTGTGTCTTTCTGCTCCTGGGATACCTCACCCAGGATGATCATTTCTAGATCCCACCATTTGCCTGCAAATTTCATGATTTCTTTGTTTTTGATTGCTGAGTAGTATTCCATTGCATAAAAGTACCATAATTTCTGTATCCATTCCTCTGTTGAGGGACATCTGGGTTGTATCCAAGTTCTGGCTATTACAAATAAAGCTGCTACAAACATGGTTGAGCAAATGTCCTTGTTGTGTACTTGAGCATCTTTTGGATATATGCCTAGAGTGGTATAGCTGGATCCTGAGGAAACGCTATTCCTAATTGTCTGAGAAAGTGCCAGATTGATTTCCAAAGGGGTTATAACAGTTTACATTCCCACCAGCAATAGAGGAGGGTTCCCCTTTCTTCACAATTTCTCCAGCATGTGCTGTCACTTGAGATTTTAACTTTTGCCATTCTGACGGGTGTAAGGTGAAATCTCAGGGTTGTTTTTATTTGCATCTCTCTGATGGCTAAGGATGTCGAGCATCTCTTAAGTGTTTCTCTGCCATTCTATATTCCTCTACAGAGAATTCTCTGTTTAGCTCCGTACCCCATTTTTTAATTGGATTGCTTGGTTTATTGCTTTTTAATTTCTTTAGTTCTTTATATATTCTGAATATTAGCCCTCTGTCAGATATAGGGTTGGTGAAGATCCTTTCCCAGTCTGTAGGCTGTCGTTTTGTTTTGATGACAATGTCTTTTGCTTTACAGAAGCTTTTCAGTTTCATGAGGTCCCATTTATCCATTGTTGCTCTAAGAGCCTGTGCTGTTGGTGTTCTGTTCAGGAAGTTGTCTCCTGTGCCAATGAGTTTCAAGGTCTTTCCTACTTTTTCTTCTAACTGATTTAGTGTATCTGTTTTATGTTGAGGTCTTTGATCCATTTGGACTTTAGTTTTTTGCAGGGTGATAAATATGGATCTATTTTCATTTTTCTGCATGTAGACAACCAGTTGGACCAGCACCATTTGTTGAAGATGCCGTCTTTTTTCCACTGAATGGTTTTGGCTTCTTTGTCGAAAATCAAGTATTCATAAGTGTTTGAGTTTATTTCTGGGTCTTCTATTCGGTTCCATTGATCTACTTTTCTGCTTCTATGCCAATACCATGCCCTTTTTGTTACTATTGCTCTGTAGTACAGCTTGAGATCAGGGGTGGTGATACCTCCAGATGATCTGTTGTTGTACAGGATTGTTTTGGAAATTCTGGGTTTTTTGTTTCTCCATATGAAGTTGAGAATTTTTCTTTCAACGCCCGTAAAGGATTGTATTGGTATTTTGATGGGAATTGCACTGAATCTGTAGATTGCTTTTGGCAGGATGGAAACCAAATTCTTAACCTCACCCAGTTCTCTTACAAATGATTGTTAATCAGTTATGAAGATGCTAGGAAAAGTTAATCACGTAACCAGATGAGCATTTTACATTACCGATACCTGAAGACTGGGTGGCAAACTTCAAAGATGTCCCTCACGATTTACCCAGTATTCACACATTTATATAATCTTTTCTTCCTCTAAGAGTAGGATGGACTTAGTAACCTATTGACAAAAAAAAAAAAAAAAAAGTATCAAATATAGCAGTAATGATAGGATGCCACTATGTAGCAACGTTATTAAAAATTGATGTTTCTGTTCCTGTGTTCTATGCTGGGACTCTTTCTTGTCTTCTTGCTTGTTCTGACAAAGTCAGCTCCCAAGTTGTGAGATGCTCTACAGGTACATATGGAAAAGAACAGAAAAGCCTCTGGCCACAGGCAGTCTGAGAAGAAATGAATCCTGCCAACCACCATCTGAACAAATTAGAAAGTGGATCCTTCGCAAAACTGCCCTTCCCCCAATCTTTTTACATTGCTTGAAATCAACCCAGGGTCCTGCCCATACTAGGTGGGTGCTCTACAACGTAGTACATCCTCAGCCTGTCCTACTTTTTCTTGTAAACACACTGATTAGGCTTTTTCCAAACTTGCTTACTGTTTTCCACATTACTAATTACGCTGGAGCTCAGTTCTTGGACTTCTCCTCTTTCACCCATGCTTGATCCCCAAGTGGTCTCCTCCAGACTTTACATATGCACCATCTACAAACTGACATATCCTAAATTATTTATAGTTTGGTCTTCTCTCCACAACTGTTCTTTAATATACACAACTACCTAGGAAGCATATTCTACTTGCACATTTAATAAGCACTGAAGTTCAAAATTAAAGCCTTGACTAACTTTAGCAAAATCTTACCACACACAGCCTCCTCTACCACCAGTCTTCCCCCTTTTAGTAGATGGTAACACCATGTTTTCAGTTGCACAGGCCTTAGCTCTGTTCCTTGTACCTTCTCTGTACCCCACTTCTCATCTTTTAGTTGTTGGTTTTACTTAAAAATAAAACCCAATTTCTTAAAAAAAAAAAAAAAATGTGCTGCTGCTATGTGGCTCACATGGATTACTGCAAAAATCTCCTAAACTGTCTTTCTGCCTTGAACCCTCAAATCTCTGTCACCATTATGAATAATCAGGTTATATGGTTGCTATGTTCAAAAACTCTCAAACTGTATTTTTCTCAGGTCAAAAGACAAAGTCCCAACAAAGTTCCCTGACTTCTCTGACCTCTGTATCTCTCCTCCAGCCTAATTCTAATTCAGCACATTAGCTGTTTACTTCCTCTGACACCCAGGTATCCTTTTTACAGACATTACTGCTATACCTGGTAATCAGAGTGCTCTTTCCTGAGTTATCCATACAGATTATTCCTTGGGTCTTCACTAGACGGCCACTTTTTTAAGCTTGCCTACCTCCAACCCCAATGTCTTTCAACCCTCTCCACAGTCCCTTTCTCTCCTTTTTCTCTGAAGTATTTATTGCTCACACACTGCATTTTGTCTTTTATTTTCTAACTCTATCCTTTAGAATGTAAGCACCAAAAGAGACATGCATTTAAAAAATAACTCTAGCAACCAATAGTATTCTCTCACTGATTTATGCCAATATGGCATAATAATGTGAATAATTTCAAAGGTACCAAAATATTACCAACACTGATTTACATTCTGACAAGTTTAACTCTGTAATTATATTCATAGTATTATTAAATTAAGTCAGTTTGTATTCTTCTGAATACATACATACTAATTAGAAGAGGAATCAGTTTAGAATCAGGCAATAAGCAACCAGATTGTTTTAAAAAATGATGTTCCAGGGCCAGAGAGATGGTTCAGTGATAAGTCATAAGCACCTGAGTTTGGATCCTTAGCACTCATAGAAAGCCAGCTACAGCTGTGCATGCCCTGAACATCAGCATTGGAGAACACAGAAAAAGAGCCCAAAAGCTCTCTTGGTCAGCCACTCTACCCCAAACTGTGAGCTTCTGGCTCAGAGGTAGATAGAAAGCCACACAGGAAGTCACCTCATGTGCTGTTTTGGCCTTATTATGTGTGCCTATAGGAACATGTAGCCACATACTCACAGGCATGTACCACACACATATACACTGCACACATATACAAAACAATAATTTTCTATTGATAATCCAAGATGGAAACTTTACATGCAATGTCACACTTAAAGATATTAAAGACTCGAAATTAAAAAGATAAACATTTTCAAATAATTTTTAAACGACTCTAAAATATTTAATTCTTTCATATTGAGCTACATCTTCTGCCAAAGACACCAATGTATATCCATCCATTTTCCAACGTAGACATTATTTTCAGTTTTCTTTTCCTAAAATATCAATGATAAAGAGAATACAGTATTTAGATGAAAAAACTAAATCCACAGTTAAATGCAAGACTTGACTAAGCTGAGCTAATTTTATAAAATTTTTACACTTGTGTTGTATAGTTACACATTTCCAAAAGTGCTTTCACACCTTCACTGTGATCTTCATACTGACACGCAGGGCAGACAGCATCACATCTTCCCATACTTCTCAAGTACACGTTATTTTTCAGATGGAAAAAGATATCTTAGGTTTAACTAGTTAGCTCAAGGTTACAAAGTTATATACAGTCAAGGTGAACTATAACTGACTATGCGTTTTTGTTTTAATTTAAGCCCACTGTTTTCTACCACAACATATTCCATTACTCAGTGACTAAGGGTATCACGGTGCAGGTCCACAAAGAGTTACTTCATCATCTTATCAGATTCCTAGGTGGAACAGAGATTTTCATATTCCTATTTATTATAAAATACATTGTAGACAGTACAAATGTATTAAAATCCTTATTTTAAAAAAATTAAAAATTCCAGGAAGTCATTCTTAAAAACTGAGTGTCCAAAGCAGGATAAACAAAAGCTTACATTTGCACACAGGGTCAACGCTTAATGGTTGCTTTCTCACACACAGGACCAGGATCTTAGAACTTCTGGACTGTCAAACAGAGACTAATACTAGAGCAAGCGCTTGGGGAAGGTATTTAACAGAAGCCATTCCAGCTCAATCATCTTATTACTATTAGAGCCTCTATCTCCAACTAAATATATTAGCAATCCTGGTTGAAACTAAGAATAATTATTTTTCCCTTCTCCCCAAAAACTTCAGTTCAAGTTCATATAAACAAATGTCTCCAGGACTCCTTTCATCCGGACCATTTCCTGTTCCAATTAATATTCTGAAGGAAGGATTCCTTGACCACTCCAATTTCAGGAACACCCCACAGCAAACCAAAACCAGGTCAAGAGCCAAAAGACCCCCAAAAGCACATATTATGTAAGATTGAAAGCTTGGTTCTTCCCATCAGAAGAGCCCGAGGCACCTTATACCCTGTTAAAACCCCTCTTAGTGGAAATCAAGATTTACTTCTAAACTCAGTCAGTCTCTATCTAATCTTAACTCAGAAGCTATTAATTTAAATGCTCAAACTACAATATGGCTACAAATCTACTGAACAGTAAGCCCACATGAAATTCCTGCAATACAGCTCAGGCATCAAGAGCCATTCAGTTCTAGAACCAGACAAGGTGAACTAAAAACTAAAAGTAGGCACAAGTAGGTAAAACGAAAAGTTTCTGAACACAAGGCTTTGACTTTGTTGCAAACCACGTGCTTCTACATGTACTCTGTTCTTTCTCCCCTTTCTCTGCCAATACTAAGAGACTGGCATAAAATACCAGATTTTATTTTAGCTCCTTCAAGAGCCCATAATTCCACTGGACATGGTGGCATATGCCTGTTATCTCAGTACTTCCTGAGACAAGAGATTACATGTTCAAGATATACTTGGGATATATAATGAACTCCAGGCAATCCTAGCTACAAAGTGAGACTCTGTAGAAAGAAAGCAAAGAAAATGAGAGAAAGTAAAGAACACATTAGTAGATGTGAAAACATAATGAAACTGTTCCCCCCCCCAAAAAAAGGAAAAACAAAACAAACAAACACAAAAAATGAAAGAAACAGAAAGAGGTTGATAGTCCTCCACAAATGAACAGACTCAATGACCTGTGGACTAACAGTTAAACAGTTTAACATATGTACAATTGACACTTAAAAGCAAAAAATGAGGCAATATTAGAAAAAAAATGGAGAAAAATCTCTATTTTTGATATTATGCACTTGCTGTTCTAAGAAGTTCAAGGAAGGCCTAGGAGAATAAACACAGATGCACATTCATACAAAAGGCCTATCACAAACTGCTAAAAAGGTGGCCAAATCATTTGTGCATTCCAAGGCTAAGAAAGTGTATTACAAATAGTAAAACCAAGAGATTATCACAGATTTCTCCTTTGAGAGAGGGAACGTAAGATTACTCCATGAGAAGAATTTAGTGTTTACTTAATTTCTAGATTTCAATGTTTTCTTTCACAAAATGATGATACTAAAACCTCTTATCAGGTTAAAGGGAGAATCAAATTATAAAAAGGATAACTCCTTTGTATGCTTGTAAATGGTAGTAAAGCCAACATGTTGGTTCCTCTCTCATCAATTCCTATATAGTCAATACAGAACCTCCTATGTAAAAGAAAAGCACGCCCTGAAGATTGGTCTTTTCACCGACAAACTTATTTTGGTAGGTAATGCTTGACTAGTACAAATAAAAAGGTCAATACTGGCAATTCAAGAAGCATACGTACCTTGGTTTCCTAATAGCAGTAAGATAATAAAGCTGTATTTGATATTCTATAATATATATATATATTCAGAATCAACATGAACATTAACCCAAGACATGAATTAGGTAAAATTTAAAGTCAAATTTCTTCATGTTATTTTATTTTGGTCCATCTTCAAACACAAAGTTTTATATTTCAAAGTTTCAGAAACAAAGTATGTTATCTTCTTTAGTACTAACAACCAAACTTGCAATTTGTCAGTGTGAAACCTAAAAACAGCAACACTCTGAAAAAATAAAAGAACATAGCACATAGCAGAAAACAGTCAATTACTGAAATAAATAAAGGTAGCCATCACACCCTACAGGCCACATAAAGTAAGACAGCTAACAATCTAATCCACTGTTGACTTTTAAAAAACATCAGAGTGATTATTTTAAAGTAAAAACTTCTAAGGAATACTTAGTGTACATACTGATTAAAACCA